AGGATGACCAAAATCATGTAGAAAAATCTTTCACAAATTATTGGTATGATCATGCATGCACCCTCTAGCTGTTATTTTACTTGTACGAGATTTCTCTAAAATTTTGTTTGTTTAACCTTGACACTTGTTTTCCTAATGATGTTTAAGGAGTGAAATAATGTCGGATATTGAAGACGATGAATGGCAAATGGTGAAGACGAAAGGAAACCAATTTGTGGTGAATGATCAACCTTTCTATATAAATGGATTCAACACATACTGGTTGATGATGTTTGCTGCAGATAACTCCACTAGAGGAAAAGTCACTGATGTCTTCAAAGAAGCATCTTCAAAAGGTATGACAGTTTGTAGAACTTGGGCTTTCAATGATGGCCAATGGCGAGCCCTACAGAAATCACCTTCGGTTTATGATGAAGAAGTCTTCAAGGTACTCCTTAACTTGATTAAAATATGATAATCATCTATGTTGCACTGACGTTTCTGACCAGAGATGTCTCGGTGTCTGTCTAGTGTTTGTGTCTGTGTTAGCGTTTATAATTTAATTTTACTATTTTGAGTGATAGGCATTGGACTTTGTGGTAAGTGAAGCAAAGAAATACAAAATCAGGTTGATATTATCATTGGCTAACAATTGGGAGGCATTTGGTGGCAAAGCACAATATGTGGAATGGGGCAATGATCTTGGTCTTAACTTGACTTCTGATGATGACTTCTTCTCGCATCCAACCCTTAGAAGCTACTATAAGGCCCATGTTAAGGCAAGTTCCACCTCAAAACCAACATTGCTTTTACTTTAAACATTCCTCAATACTAAATCGAGTTTCACCGTGTAGACTGTGCTCAATAGAGTTAACACATTCACAAACATCACTTATAAGGAAGATCCTACCATTTTTGCCTGGGAATTGATGAATGAGCCTAGATGCAACTCAGATCCCACAGGTGATAAATTACAGGATTGGATACAAGAAATGGCATTCCATGTGAAGAAAATTGATCCAAAACACCTAGTAGAGATTGGACTAGAAGGATTTTATGGCCCCTCGACACCTCAGAGACTTCAGTTCAATCCAAATACTTATGCTCAACAGGTTGGAACGGATTTCATCCGGAACCACCAAGTTCTTGGTGTGGACTTTGCTTCTGTTCACATGTATGCTGACTCTTGGTAAGTATGTGAAGTGTCATTATATACTAAGCTAACCACTTATCCAAATTTTCGCACCTTTTGATATGAATATTGCAACAGTTTCTAACTCGGTTAATTATCTTATTTGAAGGGTTTCGCCGCAAATTTCTGATACACATCTCTCATTTGTAAAATCATGGATGGAGGCACACATAGAGGATGCTGAAAAGTATCTTGGAATGCCGGTTATTTTTTCTGAGTTTGGTGTATCATCCAAAGATCCTGGCTACAATTCAACGTATCGAGATACACTAATAAGCACGGTTTACAGTTCCATCCTAAACTCAACAAAGAAAGGTGGTAGTGGAGCTGGAAGCCTATTGTGGCAGGTTTTTCCTGACGGAACGGATAATATGGATGATGGTTATGCTATTGTTTTCTCAAAATTTCCTTCCACTTCAAGTATCGTATCTCTTCAGTCTTATAGGCTTGGTTTGTTCAACTCCTTGTGTTCTTCCAAATGCCAATGGAGTTGTAAGAAGAAAAAGTTATTGGAGAAGATACTCTTTCATGAAGAATTCTAACTTATGTATGAAATTTTCAATTATAAAGCTATGGTGATATAAAGTCATGCATGTATAAATATGCGGTTCACCGTATCACTCTGATTGTATCACATATTTAGCTTTGTTTGAATAAACACCTTAGTTAAGCACTTATCATATAAATGTTTATGTAAGTTGGTTCCATAAGCTATTTAGGAGAGCTTGTGGAAATAAGCTGAAAACAGTTTATGAACATGTTATAAGTTATAAGTTGTTTCTATAAGCTCTTTCAAATAGTCGTACAGGTGTTTATACATGTATGTAAGCTCAATTAAATCATTCAAACAAACCGAAAATTTATAAGCGGCTCACTTTGTGCTAAAGCTGAATTTTGAAAGAATAGCGGCTGCTTGATCAGCACTTAGAAGAAAATAAGGATGCCTCAAAGCAGAAGCAGCAGATAAACGCCTTCTTCTTTCGGAGATAAGCTTTGACGCTAAGTCCCAGCCTCTACCAGAGTCACTATCAAGGATTTGGAAGTTAGACTTCATGCGAGTAGAGTCCCTCCATTTGTTCAAATCGTACCCGCATGTTCTCATTTCCAAATTGAAATTTTTCAAAGCAGCTTGAGACCTTAAGGTTGGTATTGCCATTTGCAGGAGTACAATTCCAGCAGAATACATATCAAAGAGATCAGGACTGTTTAACTGCAACAGTAATCATAGATATCCATTTTAGTACTAATAAAAATAACTTATACATCAGCACTTTTGTATGATATGCGCACTTAATTAGCCTGTTTATCCAAACAAGACCTATATAAATAGTATAACAGAAATAAAACCTGCCACAAGATTGGTGAAAGTAAAGCTGCAATTGGCTCAGGAGGAAGGCTTTGTGTTTCTTGTGGCAGCACATAAAGTTCAGGTGGACAGTAATCAGGATCCAAAGGTGTATAATTCGGAACAAAATTCTTTCCGATTCTAAGGTCGGTTGCTGCACCAAAATCAATGAGTTTAATCTGTCCTTGTTTTGTAACAACCAAGTTGGAAGGCTTTACATCCCTATGAACAATGCCAGTATCATGAATTTTCTTAAGAGATGTAACGATTTGGCGCATTATTTGCTTGATGATAAGTGCATTTCTTTTAGAAGATTCTACGCCTTGCAAAACACTTCCAAACACGACGGACTCTAAGTTTGAAGGGAAGTTTTTATCTCTCATGTAATCACCAAGAGTTCGGTCTCCCTGTGATATATGGACAACCCTGCAATTAGTGTATAGAATAGTTGGTAATATGAAGCCTAGACACCCCGAACACAACAATAACACTGACACAGTGACACCAATAATAGTTTTAAAAAATGAATAAACTAAACGTAATCACAAGTGTCTTGACACCAACACGGACACAGACACGCCTTATTTCATAGGTGTCGCTGTTACAACAATGTATTTCCTAAAACATACGTTATAGGAATATGAGGTAGTGCACCTCAAACTTCCAAACAAGCCATTTTCCACCTTTTGTGAACTCAGAATTGCTTTTATCTGCTACAAAACTTCCAAGAAAATTAGCACATGTTTCAGGAGCTGCTCTAGAGAGTCTATAATTGAACCACTCTTCAACATCACCAAATTCTTTAGCCCCTTCAATTCCAACCTTTACCTGCATGTTCCAACAAGGCATGACATTTCCAACAATGAAACAGTTGGGTTAGGAAGCATTGCAGAACTAATGAAATCTCAATAATACCTTTTTAAGAATGACTTTATCCTTAGATTTAGCATCCATCTTACCTCTTCCATTCTTCCGAATCCTCTCTTTTGCATCTGCATTCTTTGTTGCCAAAACAGCAGAATAAACAACGCCAAACGACCCTTCTCCTATCTTATCGCCAATCAAGAAATCGCTCCTCTTCATGCTTCTCCTTCCGGATAAACTATCCAAAACCAATTGCGTTGGAGCCAAAAGGTATGCATCAATGGCACCAAAAAGAACACCCGGTCTTGCAGTTAAGTATAACCATGTTAACCCAACAAAGAGCAAAATCTCCAACCTTTGCATATCTGATAAATTCTCACTCACACTCTGAAACTTATCCAAATAAAAAGTGCTGCTCAATAATATTTCTTTAGGGACAATATCAAAAAATGCATTACACCTTATAGAATGATGGTTGAAATGTTTTGTTAAGAAAGAACTTGTAAGTGGGATGGTGAGTTTTAAAGGACAGAAGCAGATTTTGTTATGAGTATGTTGAAGTGTAGTTGTGGTAGAGAGTAGGGAAGACATGGCTGTTGTTTAAGACAAAAGACAACGGTGTTTGTTTCTCCCAGCATAGTTTAGTCTTTAGGCCATTTGTTTCTCATTACTTTATCCATCTTTTTCTATAAATTTTCTTGGTTCAAAATTACTTAAATCCCAATCCAAGAAATCCAAATAATCGAAATGCTCATGATAAAAACTAATGTTTTTAAGACACTTCAAAAAAATACTTTTAATAAAAATTGCAGCATATGTGATATATGATTTTTTTTTCAGACACTTAATAAAAATATTTTGAATGATGAAACAAAATAAATTTTCTTTATGATAATAGCAGTGGATAAAAACAGCTTTGGAGACAAAAAAAAATTAATTACAAATAGGTGAAACTCACTACCAGATTATAATGCAGGTTATGTGCAAAAATTACTTTCAGCATACTTAATTTTTATGAATGTGGCAAATTAAGATAAGCTCAACATTTTGTCCCTAAAAAAATATACTTTGTAAATTTGTTTAAAAATTGGTTCACTATTCACTCATCTAAATACAAGTAACAAAGAGTGTTATCTTAAGCCAATGCAAGCAGGGCTATTCTTTTGAAAAAATTACTTGATTAAATAGTACCAACAATAGTTGACAGCTTGCTGAAAGTTGAAGCTTGTTTAAATATGAACCGAGAGTTGAAGGTTGTTTAGAAATGCACTGAGAATTGAAACTTGTGTAGAAAAGAAGAGTTGAAACTGAGAGTTGTTTAAGCTGATTTAGAAATGAACTGAGATGATGCTATGAAAATTTGTTTAACAGATAATGCTATGAAAATTTGTTTAACAGGGCATAAGTAATACTATTTATTTTCTCCATATCACAGATTCTAGCAAAGTCAGCTCAACAATCGTAGAGCCACAAAGGGACATACATACTACAAAGTACATACTACAAAGTTCAAATAGCTACTAATAAAAAGGCAGAGGAAAATTTATTCTTGATGCCAATTCCATTGACACTGCTTATAAGAAAAAGAGTGTTATCTTAAGTCAATGCAAGGAGAGGAGATTAGCAAGCAGGGCTATTCTGTTGAAGAAAAGAGGCTGCAGGGCTATTCTGTTGAAGAAAAGAGGCTGCAGGTCTGACATAAGAGAAATCCTTGAAGGGATTTCCACCATTTGGGCTTGCAGCTGGTGAATCAACAAGAGGCATATCAGTCCAGCGCTTCTCAAAGTTTGCAACACAGTACTTCCCAGCTACTTCTGGACGAAAGCTTGGTTCAATTTCACGTGCATCCAACTTCTTCCAATTGATTGGTTTGAACCACTTGTGCCCTTTAATTTCCGCAAACCCTTTAGCTCCACAACCCAACCTCTTTGGTGCCTCTTTCTGTAGCAGCTGTAACAGAGTAGCATAGTATCAGTATACGATGAAAGCTAAATATAATTTGAATCTAGAAAATGATCCCTCACATGTAGAGAAAAAAATCCACAGTACTTATTTGAGTTTATCTAACATAAGCACTTATGTAAGTTTATGGTTTATTACTTGTTCTTATCTTATTTCCATGCAATTCCAAACAGCATGTTGTCGCATAAGCTCTTTCTTTATACACGCACATGTGTTGAATAAGGACTTAATTAAACTGTATGTCAAAACATCCCCGTCTTTGCATGTGATAAAAACTTGATCCATTTCAAGTCAATGGTAGAAAAGGTTTGTGTCGCATGCATTAGTTATGAAGCTCAAATGAAACCCTAATTGTACTCAAACCCATCGATGTTGCAATAGGCAAAAAAGTTATGCAAAGCTTATTATGTTGCAAATAACAATATAAATAACTAAAGGAGATTTATTTGTGGACTAGAGATTACCCCTTTCAACAGTGCATGTGCTTCACTTGACAAATATCCTGGCAGCTTAATCTTATCTTTCACTATCTTCTGCTGAATCTTCTCACGGTTCCCACCACAGAAGGGCGGCTGCAGAGAAGGTGAAACAATAGAAACAATCAATTAGCAACTCCAGAAGGGCCTCACAGTTATTCAACTACCAGGCAATTAGTACATATTAGAAGCATATATATAGTATTCCTATAACTAAACAAATTGAACCAATTAACTAAATAACACAATGCATGGTCCGATTGTAGAAATTTACTAAAACTGAAAGTGAGCCTGGAGAACAAAAACATTTGTTCTAACTTGACTTATTTAGTTGCTTAAACGAGACAAGCATTAGTGTATTTCAAGTTTTACCAACAACAAAGAATCATCCAACTATGAAGATCCAATACAAATTAACAAGAAACAAGATACAAACCTTCCCAGTGAGCATCTCAAACAGTAAGACACCTACGCTCCACCAATCAGCAGCCTTATCATGTCCCTTGCCAAGAATAATTTCAGGTGCCATGTACTCTAACGTACCACACATTGAATTAGATCTTGTACTTTCTTCAAATTGTTTTGCTAATCCAAAATCAGTCAACATAACCTAGTAGATGAACCCAAAAAAAAAACCGCAGGTCAGATATTGGATGCACAAAAGAGAGTTAAAAGTCAGTATGAAAAACACAAATGAAGGAGGACAGCAAAGTACATGGCCATCGACATCCATAAGGATATTTTCAGGTTTTAGATCCCTGTGCATTATTCCCTTTGAGTGGAGATGGGAAACTGCAGAAACAATCTCGGCGGCATATATGCGTGCAAGATCCTCTCTACATATTCAAAGATGAATAATAGAATCAGACATTAATGATGCAAACTAAAAACTGAAACATTAGACGAACTCCAAGCTAAACTTACCTGAAAAGGCCCTGGTGATAAAGCTGAAAGAAAAGATGGCCTCCATTTACGAAATCCAGCACAAGATACAATCTGTATTTTGTCTGAAACAATGTATCAAACATGTCAGTTCTATTACAGAGACTATATTCTTTTGTAAGCCAAATAACAAAAGAAAACATTTCTTTACAATTTACTATGAATACAATTCTGGGTATAATTTTTATTTAAAAAAGTATATGCCTTGAAATTAAATTTTGGGCAGCGCATTCAATAACATAGACTAAAGTGAGAAGAAATTTAATGAAGGTGCTACTAAATTTTGAAAACCTAGGACACTCAGAAGAATCATTAACAAAAGAGGAAAGATACTACCAAACTATTTTACAAATTTGAAAACAAGTACCTGAAAAGAGTATCTAAGTTGTACAACAAAGGGATGCTCAATCTTTGTCAAAATCTCCCTCTCAGCTTTCATGTATTCGGCATGGTTTTTCTCCATAATCTTATCCTTCCGCATAACCTTCATAGCATATATTTCCGAAGTGCCCTTTTTCCTCACCTGATATACTTTTGCAAACGCACCCTGCCCCACAACCTTCAAAACCTCAAAATCTTCAATGCTAACTCTCTGGATCTCCACGAGGCTCCTGTCTTCATCATTCAAAGATTCCTCATTGATAACCTCTTTGACGCCAACGGTCTCTTCAGTAACACTCTTCACTAGTTCCAATGAATTGTCAGAGTCAGACTCATGTATGGTGAGCTTACTGAGTTTGAGTGACTGACCAACACAATTAGAAGGACCAACCAAAGAATGCGAACGAGTGAAGATGACTTCAGGGTCATCATAAACCAGCTTGCTCGACTCATCAACAGAGTCAAAAGAAAGATTATCAATGTTATTGACTTCTACCGTAAGAGGACCAAAAACATCAGAGAAATCCATCTCAATGTGATCCGTGGTTGCAGTACCAGGATCATTAACAGGGAAGAGCAACGGTTTACACATACCAGCCACACTCATACCAGAAAACTGAGAGGAAACCATTTTTCACCACGTATCAAACCAAACAAATGATCTAATCTCTAAAGATGCTGATGACCAAACCAATAAAAATAACTATATGTTAATCAAACCGACCCTCACTGCAGATGGACTCCTGTCAATAGCCTGAATGAGAAGGAAGTTAATGTATGCAAACGCAGTTCCCAAGAATTTTGGTAGCAGGCAGATCAAAATCCAGCAGAAAAGACCGTTGTTGTTGTTCTTGTTTCCCGAATTACAGGAAACCAAGTATGCTCCAGTGATTGTTGAACTCATGAAGATCCAAATTGGCAATCTATGTTTCATCTCAACAGAACAAAAGGAAACAAAATTAAAAAAATAATAATAATAATAATTTTAAAAAAAAAAACAATAGAACTCAATTACAATCTAACCATCATATATATGATCCCATAACAAATAACAGACATAACCACCAACCACATACATAATTACCACGAAGAAAAAAATATCAACAAAAAAGGGACCATTCAAATTCTATATTCTTAATAAAACAGTTGAAATTTTTTAGGCAATAAAGGAATAAAAATCAGTAATAAAACCATATCCTATAAGCAGTATTTCATGTAACAAGATCGAATCTAACTGAATTACAGATCAAGATCAAGAAAACAAGGGTTTGTTAATATTATTATAAATAAACGAAACGTAAAATTGAAAACCCTAATTGAAGAAACAGAAACTAACTAACTTACATTAAGAGAATAAAAATCGAGACTTTGAAATAAAAAGAGAGAGAATCGGGAGAGAAAAAGAGAGAGAGATGGAGAAGAGGGTTACCTGGGGAGGTTGCGGGGAAGAGCAACGGTGTTTTACGAGGAATGTGCTTTTTTAGAGAGAGAAATCGCGTGGTTCCTTAAAAGATGTTTGGGTGGTTATCTTACTTGGTGTGAAACGTGGCGAGATGTGAGTGGGTGAATTGGTCTTAGTTGATTTCGCGGACTCGCCTTGGGTCTCGTTTGTGTTGTTGCGTGGGATCCGAATATGCTGTTGTTTCTCCTTTTAAAGAGTTGTTACTTGTTACGCTTTGCTTCTTTTTTGTTTTTGTTTGCAAAAATGTGGAGGGAATGTGTTGTCCCAAATAATTTACCAAAATAATGGTGGGAAATTCAATATTTTTTTGGTAATGAATAAAATATGAGTGTTTTTTTTATATTAGTAGTAAAAACAAAGATTTTAGAGTTTATACTACATGAATACTTTTTTTAGAAAATAAATGTGCATATGTGTTTGGCTAGTATTCTATATATACATGAAAAGGAGATATTGTTTGGGTTTAATATTAAGGATTAAATGTGTCTTGGATTGGCACGGAATAAATTTTATTTTAATATAATCGAGTTTGTTAGAATTAATTTTAATATAATTGAGTTTAATAAAATTAATTTATGTTTGAATAAATTTATATAAAAATGAGTTGAATAATAAATTTCAGCGTAAAAAACACGCAGAATCAATTTTGGAAGTAAAGCTACAAATTCTAACTTCGAGTAAAATCAATTCTAAAAGGCGAATCAATTTTACTTTTGATAAATCAAATACCTCAAAATCACTCCTAATGAATTTTACACCTCGAAAATTAATTATGGGTCTTTCAAAAAACAATTCAAACATGTTATAAGTATCACATTCAAGTAAAATATTAACATGTTTGATTTATAAAAGAGTTGACTCATATAACTAATATTTTACGATTTTAGATTTATCTAGTTGTTACTATCAACTTCTTCGAACTCTCCAATAACTTTTTCACAAGTTTATATTTTTTTAAATACATCATTTAGGTCAATATATCGGATTAATGGTTGAATATGTTGTTGAAATTGTTGAAGTTGTGATATATCGAGAAATATTGATTTTAGTTGGTAAGTTGTTATTTGGTTGATATTTAATTGATTGGTTGATTAATGTTAGTAATAATATCAATATAGATATTAGAATAATATAAGCTTTATTAGTTGGGCTCATTATTTGGTTGTATGGAGTAATAGGTGGGGTGTGAAAGTTATGTCCAATAAGAATATTAATAATTATAAGGTTAAGTTAATTATGAGGATTGAGTTAATTAAAAGGAATAAGGATTTTAGAGATTTTGGAGAGCGAACGTAGAAGTTGCAGAATTGAAGAGAATAGGAAAAGAGGAAAAGAGATCAAGGTTGGAAACTATGACAAGGCTTGACTCTATCGAAGAATTATAGAGTCGTCTCCAATTCAAGGTAAGGGTGAAGTTCTGACTGTATAATGGAAATTATGATGAATAGTATGTGGGAATTGGGTTATGTAAAATCGTTGATGTATGTGTATATTTGTTGTGGTTGGTTGTTTCTGAAATTTATCAGATCTCTATGAATATGTTGCTGAGAATTAAATTGTGTTGATTTAGTTGTCATGTTGATGTGGTTCCATGTTGTTGGTTCTAGAAAATTGTCTCTGAAAATTGATGTTATAGTACTTAAAGTATTGGTATATAAGACTGATATTAAGAATTTTCTGGAAAAATTACGTAGAAAACGGGTACTAGAAGAAGTGTGACGAGAGGCACTCGAAAAGTGGCGCCTGATAGGAAAAGGGTGTCGAGCGGCACCCTGTGTGTGTAAGTGTGTCGAGTGGCACATGGTGAGAGAGAAGGGAAGTGTGTCGAGTGGCACATGGGAGAGATGGAAGAAGTGTGCTGCTAGGCACATCTTTTTGTGGCGAGGGGGACAGAGAAAGGAAAGAGTCCCAGTAATTCTTTCCTTGTAACAGTTTTGTTATTTAAGATGATAAATCCTTTTATTAATTCTTCCACCAATTTCTTAATAAATTAATATCATGATGAATAGAACTATAATTTAATTACTTAGTATGATTAGAGTATAAATTAATCAATGGAGTTGTATTAAGTTATGAAAGTATAGATAAGTTTAATAGCAGAATACTATTAATATAGCGGAGTTGGTATTAAAATAGAAGAGACATTAGTAACTAATATATATTAATAATATAGATAAATTAGTAGCAGGTTTATTAAATTAGCAGAGTAATGAAATACTAGGAATAATATGAACTAGCAGTAGCAGTCTGGGTTTGATAATAGTAGTACAAAGCAGAAAAAGTAGTAATTTTAGCAGATAATCATTAAGCCGGTATAGTTGAATTGTCTGAATAATTATACAGAATATTTGTTGTATATTTTAGTCAATACGGTGTGTTGAATACTTGGCTGAAAAATATGAATTTCAGGTGGTATTGAATTTGTAGGCTTATAGCCAATGTTGATTTATGTTGAGTTGTTGTGTTGTTGTAATTGTCGTTGTCAATTCTTGTTGATAATGCGAAGTTGCAAGGAATTTCAAATGATGATGAATTACCTCTATTTACTGGTAATGATAGCGATGTGGGCTTATGTCTTGCGATGAATGATGATTGTTGTGAGTATGTGATAGTGTATTTGTTGAGTCACATACATTTGCGTATTCTGTGATGGCCTGGATTGGCAAACTGCAAAGAAGGCTTATGCCTTGTTGATGCCTCTATTAATTGGCAGATTTTTAAGATGGGAGTTCTGCTCCAATGGTACCACATGCATGTGCATTGTAATTCAGTCACTGTTGATGTTGCATCTTGAGTTGTGGTGATGATATATTTGTTATTGATTTATGTTGTTGACGTATTGTGACAGGTATTATTTAAGAGCTGTGAATTAGTAGTTATGCCGTGTTGATGTTTTGTCGAGATTAAAGTTGTTTGTAAGTTGTGAAGTGGTGATTTCATATGATCTAATCTAATATATTATTTATCATACAACTTATTATATCGTCTGATATCTCACCCTTTCTGTTTGAATGTTGCCCTCTGTTAGTAACGTGCATGTAATTAAGAAGGATAGTTGTTACCTCGTCAATTCGAGTCGGTGTCATCGCTCTGATACGTAGCACTCGGGGGGTGAACGCTTGATATTTAGTTGTGTTCACAGTGATTTCTAGTAAACAACCGCTAGTCTTCCAAACTATCGAATGAACTTAATTACTGTTATTCAATTTCTCTGGTAACTTGCAGGATCGACTAGATTGATCCTATGGGACATAGTTGTTTGGCTAAATCTAATTGTAAAACTGGTATTCATATTTAGGACTTCTAATTAAAGTGTTTCAAAGACATCCAATCCACTTCGATTACTAAACTAAATGATTCGAAGGATAATTTCTATATGATATAAGGAATGTTCATTAGAAGAGTAAAAAGACTTAAGATTGGGTAAATGGCAGGATTAAGTGAGTGAATGTAAAAGTTGCTGAATGTTTAAAGGATTCGAACATAAGAAAAGTGTTTAAATGCAGAAAGAAATAAATGACTCTGAATGTAAAAGCTTTAATGTAAAGGCATGAACGTAAAAATGTTTGAAGCACAAATGAAATGGAAATGAAAGACAAAACTGGAAAATATAAAGAGTTTTCATTGAATTGTAAATGTTGGTGTTATCATACGTACATCTTTCGAGCATTCGTTTCCCTATCCATGCGGTATTTTGAATGTTTACTGAATTTGTACAACAGATATGACCAAAATCCTAACACTAAGACCTCTATTTATACTATTTTGACCATAACGGTCTTGCTATCAGAATCTGCCACGTTCGAAGCATGCAGAGCATTACTTCCCTCTAGCCTTCACGCGTCCTCGAACGCTCCAACGCTTATGTATTTGAATTTCCAATATCCCGCTCACGTTTGAATTTAAAACGCCTTGGAACCTTCGTTTCGAATTCGTTTCAAAGGTTATTTTCGAAAACAACCTTCACAAATATAATCTCATCATTATTTCGAAAATTCTTTAGACTTACACTCCACAACTATCATTCGAAACCTTGAACTTTAATATTTCCATTCAAAAAAATAGTCTCTTCCATTCCAAACCATAAAACTTGGCTTATTCAAACAAAGCCCAATCATTTCATTTCGAATCACAATATCAAAATCTTCAGCCAACAAAATGCCCCTTTAAAATATGTATTTCGAACCCTTTGAGAAATACTTATTTTAAATAGATTCACAAGATTTTGATAGGTCTTTTGAAGAATCATGACATTTACTGTGCATGACTTTACCCACGTCAATCAAGACGCCTCTTTGAGTACCTAACCGTCTTGGACCAGTTACCACAGCATGGTGCGGTTTTAAAAATAATGATTACTATTAATCACACTCATTACCAACACTAGATCTTACGCCATCTCTCTCTGAATCCAACCAACGACTTCCACGTACCCCTAGTCTTATTTAGTGGGTGTTTACACTCACTCTTCCACACTCTCTATAAAACTCATCAGTTTAGTCTTTTCTTCTTTTTCTCAAAATTCTGAAACCCCCCTCTTTTTTTCACTAAACCCTAAAACTTCCAGCAATCTTAACAATGTCTTCATCAACATCATCACAATTGAAGAAATCATCAAAGAGGAAGAACAAGAACAACAACACGGAAATTGTCATGGAGAGCAAGGTGGGTACTTATCAGAATCAATCTGTGCTCAATCCTCAAGCGATCTCCAAAGAGAAAGAAATGTTGTATGCTTCTCAGGTATTAATCCCTACCATTGTTGCTGGAAAAAGGTTTGCCCTAATGGGTCCTTTAACCATTTTTGAAATTCTGAAAGATACTAGGAAAATTTTTCCCGTTTGCTATAAATTCAAACCCCTATTCAACAAGATGGATGCCCCTAAGGCAGGAACTGAAGACATAAGCGAATCATCTGATTCGAAAACAACTAAAACTCCAGTCTCACCTCCAAAAGATCCTTTTATTTTAGATTACATCAAAAGCAATTTCAAACCATTTCGATCCTGCCCCACTTCAGATGTAGCATATCAAAACTGGCTCACTAAAGTAGAATCCAAAAAATCCCAGCAATGGGAAGAATTAGGAATTTATAATTTAATCAAACTGTCGAAACCAGGATTTACTTACAGTCACCCATTGCTATTTGCTTCATTGTACTTCTGGGACAGCACTTATAACACTTTCCACCTTCCGGGCGGAATGATAACACCCACCTTCTTTGATATAGCTGCCATCACTGGTCTTTCACCAGTGGGGGAAACTTATATTCCAGATAATGAAGAACATTCTAGCATCATTGACTTCGATGTCAAACTAGCTAGCTTTTCAAAATTCATCAGCCATTATCATACTGAAGGGGATGATGTCTCAGACGTAGAATATATCGCTTTCCTTACCTTGTGGCTATCACGATATGTGTTCTGCAGCAGATCCTTGCAAGTGGCGAGTAGGTTCATTCCCCTAGCCAGGGATTTCCATGAAAATAGGAAAGTCTGCCTGAGTGAACTGCTACTTGTCGATCTTTATGAGAGCTTAAGGTCAACAGTTTCTGGTTTAAAATCCCATGCTCCAAAGAACATTCTTCTGGCTGGACCCTTTTGGTTGCTTCAACTATGGCTTAATGCCATGTTCGAATCTTCTTTATCAACTGCTGATACTATCATCAGACAAGATCCAGAAATAGCTGACAGGATCATCGAAGGCACAAGGCTTCGAAAGCTTACTCCAAATGATGACAAGGATGATTTCAAAGTCCATTTTTCTAAATACATCATGATCTTCTCAAAAAGACACAAGTTCGGAGAGTCCATGGAACCTTTTGCTCAAAGGACTTGTGGACCATCATGGTTCACAATGTCTCTCTCAGAAGCTGTCAAGAGCAGAGAGATGCATGACATTTGGAAAGCGTTTCTTCTTCCTAGGCTAATTTCCTCAAGAATTACTCTAACAAAGAATCAGATTTTCCTCCTGACTTATCAACCCAATTTCGTTTCTCGACAATTTGGCCTGTGCCAATTAATTCTTGAACCTTTGTTCCAAACACAAAGTGCCATAACCTCAGGCAAAACGTTCAAAGCAAGAGAGGCCAAATTACAACAGGAGCAATATCAAGATTTTGCTCAGTTCGAGCTTTTACCTTTCGAGCCAACATACTTCACAGCAAAAGGATTTCTTGAATGGTGGACTAAGTTCTACCAGACATATATGTTTGACACACTCACCATTCAACAAAAGCTAACTGGCGCGTTCAATGTGCAGGTACACTCCAAGAAAGGTATGTTCACTCATGTCAAAGAAATTAGGGCTTTTCAAAATTATTTCGAAACCACTTATGATCCCACACACTTGGGAACCACTGTACATCGAGCAGCTGAGACCTTGAAGGAAAAATTTAAAGAAAAAATTTATGAGTTCAAACTTCCTTTAGGGTTGTCACCTGAGGATAGGTATAGGTTGGCACTCGAAATGCATCCACCTAAATTTCCTAGGTTGCCTACCTCAGAACTGGCTCTGGCTTGGTTTCCTCCATACCCTTGGTGGTTTACTTGTAAAGAAATGTTCAAATACCAATCTCGAAAGAAACTAAAGCCATCTGAGACTGTGACATGGGCTCGTTACTGGATTCATAATTTCCCAGGACATATTCGTTATGACCTTCCTGCCATTTCGATTACATCTAATCAAGGCACAGGTGCGAATGCTTGGGAAAATTCCAATTGTATCCTAATTCCCTTATCCTTAACACTTTACCTTAATTGTTTCACTTTTCAGCCATTAGGATAAAAAAACGTTACTTCGAAGCCCAAGGAAGGGAACACTTCTCAACAAGCTATT